TGTGTAAGCAAAAATCAAAAAGGGCAGTAATTGAATTTTGAATTGGGGGGGGCTATCCTTTCAAAGAGATTTACACAAAAATATTTTTTATTACTCAGCCCAAAGCTGATTCGAAGAATTAAAATAAGAAACCAGAACCAGGACTCCGTTCATTCTCAGTGTGACTACAATTCTGGAAATAGCCTCTCCTAAAGTATGCAAAAGTTTACTAATTCATGGTCTATTTAGACCTTCCTCTTAATTAGTTTTGATTTTCTGTATCATTTCCATATCTGACATGCAAGAGGATAATACTTCAATCTCTATTCTCTAGGAAAGGAGTAAAAACAGGATGAACCAAGAGCTGAACTCAGCCAGCCAGCTGTGTTTATTTGGCCTGCATAATATTTAAAATGTGTTTTTATTTAAATGCCTTTTAGGTGGGATCTGGACTCTCCCCAAATCTAGCAATTCCTAAATGTCTTTTATCCAACAAGATTCACCCATTTATGCTCCCTTCCTAATCTTTGTAAGCTTGGTGTGGACTACCTGTCTCAGGAATTTCCATCCCAAGCATAACATGGATATAAGGGCCTAGAGGAAATGCTAGGTATATTAGAATAAACTTGAGAGGAGAGGCAGCCCTGGCTAAAACTGTGAAGCAAGGCAGCTTGTGTGTTCTCTCCACTGATGAGCACTCTTCTATAGGAAGTCCACTGTTATTTCTCCATTCTTCCCCCAGATAGTGAGTAAATGGAAAGGAAATTAACCGTCATTTTAAAAAAGGAAGAAGTAAACACATTTATTAATCCCTCTTCCTTTTTAAGTGTCAAAATAATTAAATTGATTTGGACTCTGACTTTTTATTTTTTAAGATTACATTTTAACTAAAACAGACAAAGCAAGAACTTCCCTTTAATTCAAACAGTTCCTTGAATTTTTCAGATAAGCTCCACCCATTACAGCACTGATATCTCAAAGACGTGAGTCCACACCCAAAAGTCCTTTATAGCTGGGATTAGGGAACAATATTTCCTTGCCTATGTGTGTGCGTGTGTGTGTGACAGAGAGACATAAAGACAGAGAGACAGACATATTAAAACTGAGGAAACAGAATCAGGAACTGGAATTCATGAAGCTCAAAGCCCAAAACCCCTTTGATTCCTAGAGCAGCAGAAAATCCATTTCATTTTCATTGTTACCCAGAAGTTAGAAGTGACAGAACATAGGGAACTTACTGTCCTAAAAACACAGCAGGGTACAGTCACAAGAGTAAAGGAAGTGGTGGTTTGAGTAGGCTGCCTACTCTTTCCTGCTGAGGAACTTTCCCACCTTTTCCAGAGGAACTAACTGCAGGAGATTCAGTGCTCTTCTCTAAACTCACCAATTCTACACTTTTGTCGGTAAACTCAGGAGTCTGCATTTCCAAAATGAGTGGCTTACTTCCCAGAAGTTATGGGTCATTTAAAAATTGTTCCTTGGTGACTACGGTCTAGGCCAAACCTTGACTTCATTGTCATATGCTGGGTAGGTATGTTTTGCCCGTTGAAAAAATTTGATTTATCTGGTCTTGCATCTTCTGTAAGTAAATAGATTTTACCAGGTGAAAGTAAAATTGTCAGTGTCTTTAGTTAGTATATAGGCTGGTTATTTTGGAAAGAGATTAAATCTTTACATATTTGTGACTTTTCAAATTGACTAATTCAATATAGTCGACAAATATTTTTTGATCACCAATAATCACCATATCTGACATAGTCAAAACCTAAAGCAGATGATTTTTTTAGCTCCCCTCCTTTATACAACTAATTTATTTTAAATAAGAATCACAAAATGAGCAGGGGGAAGGTATAGCTCAGCAGTAGCGTGCCTGCCTAGCATGCACAAGGTCCTGGGTTCAATACCCAGTACCGAACCTCCATTAAAATAAATAAATAAACCTAATCCCCCCCCAACAAAATAATAAAAGTGCTTAAAAAAGAAAGTAATAAGATATTTTTTAAAAATCACAAAATGAAAAGACTAACAAGGACTAGAAAAAAAATCTGAGGGCAAAATTTTTTTCATTGAGCTTTATATATAGATAAAGTCATGATATAAATAAATAAATAATGAAATATTACAGTACAAGAAAGGAAAGGAGTAATTGATACTTTTTATTTACACTAATGTACTTTTTGAAAAAATGAAAAAACATATGCCTAAATATTAGTTTGTTGATGAATAATATTTTAGCTTATTAAATAAGAATAATAATTTTAAAGAATTAATTTCAATTTTAAAGATATTATTCAAATTCAGTAAAATATTTCATGTATGAACCAAAATATGCACTAACCAGATTAAAATGTTAGATCTTGCAGTGTTCACTCAGTTTCACTGTTTTAAATTTTAAATACAAATGAAACTTTAAATGATCACATACAGTGAGAGAATAGAAATCATTCTGTATCTTAATCTCTAAAAGCACATGCTATCATTTATTTTGAATCTACTGTTTAAATTCAAGAATATGTAGTACTATAGAGGTCTGAGATGTGAACCTTTCCCAAAATGAGCTAGAAGAATTGTAAACTATTGTGAACTTACTCTTGAAATGCCTGTGTGTAGAGTCTGCATGTCTAATTGGGAATTAGCTTTTATGTAAAATAAAATGTTTAAAGAAGCATAAGTGATACAAATATGCTAATTTGAAGCTTTCATTCCGGAAACTCAGTAATAGCAACAATTGTTACAGAGTTTATATAAACAAAAGAATTTGGAGGAGAGAGGAGTATTCTATCACCCATGTTGTTTAGAATTAAAGACTCATGGTGAAAATAAAAAGCAAACCAACTCCTAGTTGGCTTCCATTATTGTTCTTAAACCCACCCCCTTATTGCTTGAACCAGGGGTTACTGCTCCCACTGCCCCACCCTTGCTACACTGCTGCCTGCTAAGCTAAAGGCATGGTGTCAGGTGTTGGCATGCCAGATTAGGCAGAAGAGATGAACTCCTGTTCTCAGGGAACTTCCAGGTGAGTTCCATGGGGGGTCAACAGGGAATAAATAAAGAAAGAAGAACTTATAGAATTCAAGGTCTGTGAAGGAAACAAACAAACAAACAAACAGACTCAGAGATAGAGAGTAACAAGACATCTGTTAGGCAATGGGGTGAAGGAGTCTCATGTTGGTGCTTGATGAACAAGGGGGATGAGAGGGAGTTGAGGTTGGAAGATAAGCAGATGCCTGACCAGCTTTGAAGAGTTGGTTTTTTATTTGAAGTGCAGAAAAAAATCCATTCAAATGTTAAGCAGTGAAATGACATAAATTGATGTTTCCAAGTGATTACTCTGGCTGCGGTGTGAACAGATTAAAATCTGGCAAGAACAGAAGCTAGAAGAACAGTTAGACTATATCTAGTCTTAGAGAGAGATAATGGCTTGGCCGGGAAAGGTGGCAACAGTGACAGGAAGAATATTAAGATATGTTTTCAGTAAAATAACTATTATTCAATAAAAAAGTTTAAAAAAAAAGAGATACGTTTTCAGCAGGAGTGAATGAAAGTGGGGAATGAAGTAAAGGAAGTCAGCAAGAAAGACCCAGGTTTCTGGTTTGTATAACTAGGAGAAAGGTGGTGCCTTTTCTTAAATGGGAAGTTTGGCAGTGGACAAGTTTCCTAATAATGACTTGATTCAACATGCATCTCTCAAAGAGCTTTTCGTTGTTTGGGTTCTTAACAGATTTTATTTTTATAGCAGTTTTAGGTTCTCAGCAAAATTGAAAGGAAAATGCAGAGAATTCCCATATACCTCTTGCCCCTGTTGCCACACACAGCTCTCCCACTATCAACATCCTGCACCAGAGTGGAAAATTTGTTAAAATTGATGAATCTACATTCACACATCATCGCCCCAAATCCATAGGTTTCCGTTAGGGTTCACTCTTCTTGTTGCACATTCCCTGGGTTTTGACCAATGTATAATGACATGTATCCAGCACTATAGTTTCAGAATAGTTTCATTGCCCTAAAAATCCACTGGGCTCTGCCTATTCATCTCTCTCTTCTCCTAACCCTTGGTAATCACTCTTTTTTTCTTTTTTTTTACTGTCTCCGTAGTTTTGCTTTTCCAAGAATGTCATATAGTTAGAATTATGCAGCATGTAGCCTTTTCAGATTGACTTCATTCACTTTGTAGTATGCATTTAAGCTTGTTTATGTCTTTTCATGGCTTGATAGCTCACTTATTTCTAACATTGAGTAATATTCCATTGTATAGATGTATCACAGTTTATTTATCCTTGGTTGACTTCTTGGTTGCTTCCAAGCCTTGGCAATTATGAACAAAGCTGCTATAAACATCCAAGTGCAGGTTTTTAGGTAGACATATGTTTCCAACTCCTTTGGGTAAATACAAAGGAGCACAATCACTGGATCATACGGTAAGAGTATGTTTAGTTTGTAAGAAATTGAGAAACTGTTTTCCAAAATGGCTGCACCATTTTGCATTCCCATCAGCAATGAATGTTACTCTACATCCTTGCCAGCATTTGGTATTATCAGTGTTTTGGATTTTCACCATTCTAATAAGTGTCGTTTGGTATCTCATTGCTGTTTTAATTTATAATTCCCTAATGACATATGATGTTGAACATCATATGTTTCTCTGGTGAGATGTCTGTTCAGGCCTTTTGCTCATTTTTTAATCAGGTTGTTTGTTTTGTTTGTTGAGTTTTAAGAGTTCTTTGTGGTTTGTTTGTTTTTTTGGGGGGGTTTGGCAGAGCCAGCTGGGGCTTTATTCTGAAAAAGACACTTGATTTGGATTTATTCTGAAAAAGACATTTGAATTGGCTTTTAACTGGGGTCATGGGCAAGAGAGGGGAGCCCGAGAAGTCAACCCTCACCAAGGATGGGTTGAGGACCCGGGGTGAGCCTCAGGTCTCCCGCGCCAATGCGCCCCCTGCATGGCTCCTTCTGCAGGAGACTTTCACTTGGACAGGACATCAGATGACTCCGACACCAGCTTCCCATCGCGGGTCCTTTGTGTATTTTTGATAACAGTTATCAGATACGTCTTTTGCAAATATTTCTTCCCAGTCTGTGGTTTTCTTCTCATTCTCTTGATTAGCTTTCAGTTTTTTCTCTTCAAACCACACTTTCATTGTAAGTTTCATTTTCATTCAATCAAATGTGGAAATTTTTCATACTGTATAAGGCTCTCTCTTCCCTTTTTAAAAACAAATATATTTTATTATTACAAAAGCAATATGTATTCCTAATGGAAAATTTGAATAACACATAATTAGAAAAGAAATGAAAAACTCTAGCACTTTGAAGATTAATGGCCTTAGGAGTACTGGGAAGTAATCCATGTCAGAAGCCTAAAAAGATACTTACCCTTTGACCCAGCAATTCTTGTTTAGAAATGTATCCCAAGAAAATAATTGGATATGTGCCCAGAGACTTAAATACAAGGATGTTCCTAATTGGAAAAAATTAGAAACAACCTATATTATTTGTTTGGGCTGCCATAACAAAGCACCACAGACTTGGTGACAACAGGAGTTTATTTCTCACAGTTCTGGAGGCTAGAAATCCAAGATCAAGACATCAGCAGGATTGGTGTCTTCTGGGGTGTCTCTCCTTGGCTTGTTGATGGCCATCCTCTCCCTGTATCTTTACATAGTCTTTCTTCTCATATGTCTGTGTCCAAGTTTCCTCCTCTTCTAAGACACCAATCATAGTGGATTAAAGCCCATGCTAATGTCTCCATTTTAACTTAGTTACCTCTTTAAAATCCAATCTCTGAATGCAGACACATTCTGAGATACTGGGGATTAGGACTTCAACATATAAATTTTAGGGGGACACTATTTAGCCCATAACACAACCTAATCCAAGGACTGGGAGTTAGTTAAATAAATTATGATGCATTCACACAACAGTACATACATTCTAGTTTATGTACACACTGCCATTAAAAATAGCCCCAAAATATGTATGACATGGAAACAATCTCATGATGTATGTTACTTGGTGTAAAGAACAGGCTACAAAATAAACGTTTAGTATGATTCTTTTTTTTTTAACCTACTTATTTTTCTTTTTCTTTTTTCTTTTTTTAAAATAGCGATACTGGGGATTTAACCCAGGACGTCGTTCATATTAAGTACGCACCCTCCCACTGAGCTGTTACCCCATCCCTGTAGTATGAGTCTTGTTCTTTCTGTGTATGAAATACATACACAAATGCACAGAAAAATGGCTAGAAGAGTTAATGGAATTATATTGGAGGGACGATATGGGTGATTTTCCTTTGCTTTATTTCTATTTACTTATCTATTGCTTAACTGTACATTTTAATTTTTTCACAGTAAGTTTGTGCTAAATTTTAAAATAACCCCCCATCCATGACACAAATAATCTAAAAAAAAAAAAAAGAAAGAAAAAGAAATCGACCCTGTACTTCAAGCATGTTTTAGAGAACAGTTCTCCAGTTATGTAATTTTCCTTTAGCCATTTCTGCTTTCCTGCTGCTAAGGTGAGTTTAAATAGGATATGAAAGTGTTCCTGACTGGCTCTGTTTGCCCCTATACAGAAATGACCTGCTCATTTAAAGTGCAGTGAAATGCTCTTTGTACTCTTATTCATTCACTCACATGCTCTGTGTACTCTTATTCTTTTTTTGGAGGCTGTTTGGAAAGGTTTTTGCTTAATCATAAGCCATTGCTGAAGCCAGTGACATCATGACTGAATGATTCATCTTGGTTTAGGACTTCTGATCAGACAGAATCTGAATCCTATTTTCAAACTGATAGAGAAAAAAAAAGTTTTAATGGGTTGGGTTCCCAAAAAGAGAGGAGGGTAGATATGTTCTGAGCCCTGATCTCTATGATTTCTAGCTTTGGAAGCAGAAGGTGCCTATTCATATCTCACTCACAGGAGAATTGACTATAGGCATTTTTCTTCCAAAGTCTGTTATTTCTTAGAGGCTGGACCTACCATTCCAATGATTTCTTCTGGGTCTGTCCCTCTTCCCTTTCCCCACTTCTGTAGCTTGGGTAATTTATGCACAAAATACATACCATTTGAATAAAAGGTCAACACCTAAGTTAAGACACGATAAAGTAATTCGAGGTTACCTGTGTACATGACTCCACATGTTTAGCTTTCATTCTGCGTAAGATACCTCCATGGCCATTGAAACGCAGCTGCTCCCTTGGTTGTTATGTGGAATAGTGACAGATTTAGCATCATTATACATGTACAAGTAGGTAGTGTACAATAGCAGAATTTGGAAATTTGGTCTTATAATAGTGGGGGCATCCTGTAGGAAGCACCTTGCTTACACTGCTGACAAATCTTGAGAATACCTCAAGGATTAAGACTCCTCCACAGAGGCACGTATTTCATAGACCACTTCTTGCCCTCAATTTCTCAAACAGAGATGCTTATACCAATTTGTCCACTTTCAGAGCAGAGCAGTGGGCGTGCATTCCAGGTTCCTAGCATTTTGATCCATGATAAAATTTGAGTTAATGACTATTTATGTCTATGTTACAGTACTGTCAGTGAAAGGCCTTGATATTGAAGCAGGTGACCTACCACGGTCCTGGCCAGTGAGCATGAAGTAGGAATGCTCTTCAGGCATGTGCCCTTACTACTTGTAACACTTGGGAGTAGGTGGAGACATAAGAAGGGACAAGAATTCAGAAAGTTACCTACCAAAGTGCCTCTGGCAAAACCCTCTTGAACGGACTGGATTTTGTTTGACCTTTGGTCGGACTTGGATAGAACTTAGATAAGAGATTATCTGTGAATATATAGTCTTAAAGGTATTTCCTCTGGGCTGACAGCTCCTGGAGAGCGTGGGCCACATCTTCTGTAGAGCAGGCATAAAATAAATATCTTTTCAGTTGAATGCACAGTCAGCCACCTACTTGCTCACCAACTTCACATTCTAAATATTCTTCTGTTACAAATCTGGGATAAGATAAAATTCTATTAGTGTCATGAGGCTTGAATGCTGTCCTAACATTGTTTTTAAATATTAGAGATAAAAGAGAACTTAGAAATAATTTCATGTAGAGTACTTTCATTCTACAGATGGGAAACTAAGACCCAGACAGGCTAAATAATTTTTCAAAGCTAGTTAGTAACCGAGATAGAGGCAGGAGAATCCAGGTTCTCTTGGCTCCGTTTGCTACTAAACACCCTTAAGCCACTAAGAGGACTGCTTCTGCTTTAGGTTATGCTGTTTTGTTGTTTTCTTTTTCTTTTTCTTCTCTCGCTCTTTCTTCATGTGCTTTTCTTTTTTTTTCTCCTACTGGGACTGGGACATGAGATCAACATGCACATCAGAGAACTTTTTAGAAAAACCAGGGCTATTGTGTTGTGGCCCAGTATTGTGGGGGTAGAACTTTATCTTTCTAGAAAGGTATCAGGTTTACTCATGTTCTCTGGGCCTGAGTTGAATGTAAGAGACTTGCCCTGGAATATCAGGAGACCTGAGCCCTCATCCTGACTGTCATACTCCGGTGGCCTTGGGAAAGTTAATTTTCCTCTCTAGGCCTCAGTTCCTCCTTTATAAAACATGCAACTTGGACTACATGAGCTCTAAAATCCTATGATTTTACCTGTTTCCACATCTGAAGTATGAAAATTGAAATTTTTTTTCTACCTTTAAAGTCAAAGCCACACCTAAGCCCCATGGAATTTGATCACCCTTCCATTTTTGTGTATTGACAAGCCTTCTTGGCTCTGTTTGGTGTAACTAGAATGATTTAGTTTTCATTTCAATGGTTCCAATTATTATCTTCCATTTGACATTCTACCAAAGAAGTAATTGGCACAATGGTTAAAGGTGATCTGTGACTCACTTCTTTTGGCTCCTGTTTTGAGTGTTATTTCGAAGGTGTCTGGACCTCCTCCCCTCTGTCTGTCACTCGTCTGGAGTTGGATGCTATCCGTGGATCCTATCTTCCTTTGCTTCTTGTGGAATTGGGAGAGAGGGGTAGGTCTCCTTAGGATCAACGATCCAAGCAGGTGCCTGGAAGGGGAACATTTTCTCTAAGTAGAGGGAGGGAAAGCTGCCAGGTTGCTGACTCTGCCTTAGCAGGTGATAAGGAGTTAGTTGCAACCTGACTCCTCTCCCCACTGCAGGGTTACCTGCTTTGTGTTGTCTTGGCAAAGCCCCCTAGACATGTCATGGCAGCCTATCCCTTGCCGCCTTCTGCTTACATACCTACACGCCCAGGAACAGAGAATCAAGAGATCAGCTTTCTGGCTGCTGCTGAAAGGATGCCCTGTTTGTCAGTGGCAAGTGGCCTGCTTTACACTGAAAATCACCCTGATATGCAGAGCTGCAGAATACATAGGTTATTTGTTACCTGCATTGAAAGGAATATAAAGCCCAGTGTCACGTTACTTTGTTGGCCTCTAACAGAACTTTCTCTTTTGCATCGACTGTTCCACACCATCAGTCGCTCAACAGCATTTATGAAGCACTTGCCTTAAGCCAGAAGGATACCTTGAAAAAGAAGAAAAACCGTGATCTTTGGCCTCAAGGACTAAAAACTTGCTCAGAGAAAATTTGAGAATGCATAAGAACATGAAGTACCACACAACTAAGTACAAATTAACATATAACAGAATATTTCCAGACATATTTAGGAGTTAATTAATCGAGCCGGGGAAGAGTTTTAACAGAGAAGTCTTCTTAGAAGAATAGTGACTGCAAAATTAATTGACTATATTAACATACTTACCAAGAGAACCCAGGGATAATTTTCCAAAGGATTTAAGTGATTAAAGAAAGCCCCACTGAGTCATATTCCAGAGAATACAAAAGGTGCAAACTAAAAAATGACTTGACAAGCTGTGTTTTCAGAGATTGAGCAGAGAGAGAATGAAGAAGCTAAAAAGAATCTGTAGAATTACACCTGAAGGCTGAGCTACGGAATTTGAATCTGATAAAATTTGTGATAGGGAGCCACTGGAGGCACTTGAGCATGGGAACTATGTATGAAATTGTCCGAGGAAGAAAAACCTTCCTGCTATATGTAAACTCATATGGAAAAGTCAGCAGTGGGGCCCAGGTTGGAGCTGCAGCTGGGGAAGTGAAATGGAGATGAACTGGAGGGATGACATGGAGCCAACAAGCAGGGCTTAACCAATACTTGGACAATAATCACGACCAACCTTCACTGAGTGCTTTCTATGTGCCAGTCACAGAGCAAAGAGCTCATCACAGGAATTAATGCGTTCAAACCGTAACAGAACTGTATGAGAAGAAGTTAAACAACTTGCTCTGGGTCATGCAGCTATAAGTAAGGAACTGGAATTTGTACCCAGACACTCTGGCTCCAAAGCCACTTAACTACTATGTTAGACTGCATCTTTGAAGTCAAAGAGTAAGGAAGAAAAATAAACAAATGGGACCTAATTAAACTCATAAGCTTTTGCACAGCAAAGGAAACCATAAGCAAAACAAAACGACAACCTATGGAATGGGAGAAAATATTTGCAAATGATGTGACTGAAAAAGGCTTAATTTCCTGAATATATAAACAGCTCATACAACTTAATAACAAAAAAACAAACAACCCAATCCAAAAATGGGCAAAGGACCTAAACAAACAATTCTCCAATGAAGACATACAAATGGCCAGTAGACACATGAAAAAATGCTCAATATCACTAATTATCAGAGAAATGCAAATCAAAACTACAATGAGGTATCACCTCACAGCAGTTAGAATGGCTATCATTCAAAAGTCCATGAACAATAAATGCTGGAGAGGCTCCTACACTGCTGGTGGGAATGTAATTTGGTGCAGCCACTATAGAGAACAGTATAGAGGTTCCTTAAAAAACTAAAAAGAGACTTACACTATGATCCAGCAATCCCACTCCTGGGCATATATCCAGAGGGAACTCTAATTCAAAAAGATACATGCACCCCAATGTTCATAGCAGCACTATATACAATAGCCAAGACATGGAAACACCTAAATGTCCATCGACAGATGACTGGATAAAGAAGATGTGGTATATTTATACAATGGAATACTACTCAGCCATAAAAAGAATAAAATAATGCCATTTGCAGCAACATGGATGGACATGGAGATTGTCATTCTCAGTGAAGTAAGCCAGAAAGAGAAAGAAAAATACCGTATGATATCACTTATATGTGGAATCTAAAAAAAAAAAAATAGGATACTATGAACTCATCTACAAAACAGAAACAGACTCACAAACATAGTAAACAATCTTATGGTTACTGGGGAAAGGGAGTGGGAAGGGGTAAATTTGGGAGTTTGAGATTTACAAATGTTAGCCACTATATATAAAAATAGATTTTAAAAGTTTCTTCTGTATAACACAGGGAACTATGTTCAATATCTTATAATAACCTTTAATGAAAAAAAATGAAAACAAATATATATATGCATATGCATGACTGGGACGTTGTGCTGTATACCAGAAACTGATACATTGTAATTGAATGTACTTCAATAAAAAATAAATTAATTTTAAACAAAGTAAGGAAGAAAATTACCCTAATGCAGTGATTGAGATTATGACCTCTAGATTCAGACTCTGTGGGACTTCTGCCTATGGCACTTACTGGCTATACACTCCTGGACAATCCACTTAAAATTGTACGTCTACTTTTCCTTATCCATAAAAATGGGGATAACAGTTCCTGTGTATAGGGCTGCTATAAAGTATAAATGTGTTACAGTGTGCACTGTGCTCAGCCAGTGTCTGACACATAGTGAGTGTTCAGTAAATGTTAACTGTCAATAAAACTGTTATTATCATCCTATGTTTTTGAGCCTGGCAGGATAGCAATATAATTGCCAGAATAAGAAAAGGGGGACATTTCATTTAAGGTTACTTACCACTCATGAGGCCGTTGCTCTTGAGTGACAGGAGATCTAAGGATCAGTAGAAATCATACTGAGGGAAGTGATGAGAAATTGAGGGGCATTCCGAAGAGAAAAAATAACTGAAAATGCCAGTCATTCAGAGCACTGGAAAAATCATGCTAGAAATGAGGGAAAGGGAGGGAGGCTTAGACTTTGGTTAATGTAGAGCCTCTATTTTGTGGGCAGGGAGGAGTGGGACTGACACTTTATTAACTTACATATTGAGCATGAATTTAACTTCCCTTTTGGTTTCCTCTTTTTCACCCTCACTATTAATAGACTATGCACATATTGAGAAGTAATCTATGCTGCAACTCTCCCTCAGAACTTTATGTACTTAAAGTGGAGTTAGGAGAGATTTTTAAAGGACATTGCTTAAAAAAAATATATATATATATATATATTGTATATACATATATATATATACAAAAACAACAATGATGACATGATAGGTGACAGTCATTGTTCACAGGTCAGAGCTGCTAGTTCTCTGAAGTCCTTTCCTCCCAAGAGAGAGCTCTAAGAAGAGGTCTTTGTGCCCCATGTGTAACAGCCACCTAGGAGCTGAGTCAAGCAAGCAGTCTTAGTTTTCTAAAGACCAAGTCTGGGCAGGTCTGTGCTTTCACTACGTGGGAGGGGTAAGTTGTTAAGTTTATTCACATGTTAACTGCCTAAGTCAAGGTACCATGGCTCCATTAGTTCTCCCAACTGACTGGAGACCCATACACGGGGGCTAAGCTACCCATCACTGTATGTAACGAGAAGTAGTGACTTGGCACTCTGCCATCTGGATTCAATCTGTGTTCTCATGTGGCTCAGCGATATTGAGAAAAGACAGCAGTAATCATTGGTGAAATTAGTGCCCTCAAAATCATTCATTCACAAATATTTATTGGCAACAGTGAGTAACTGTATAGAACACAGTTTCTGGTACCTAGGAAAAGCTCGAATTTTGTTGATTCTGACCCAGTGTCTGGACTGTCCATTTGCCAATATATAGCATTTAACTGCTTTTCTTTAAGGAAAATCCAACTATATCTATAGAGTAAAAGCATAGGTAAGAAGGAATGATTAAGTACAAGGTAGATTGAATGTGTTTTCTCTCTTCTGTTTCCATCTGAGAAACCCCAGCTCCAGTTCAGCAATGGTATAGTGACTGCTATTACACAGCAATGATTGGTGTCTGTGAGCTCAGGCTGAGTGCTTGTTACAGAATTTGAAAGGCCAAGGCATATTCCATGTACCAGCCCTCAACTACCTCCATCAAACTGTCACCATAGAGACAGAAAACTTAAAGCTTTCCTTATAATCATTTTGGAAGGGAAATGTCTATTTCTGGCTGAGACTTGGCTTTTCTAGAGTAAGGTTTATGAAGAATGTCTTACTGCCTGCTATGTAGTGAGGAATTTAGGACAAAATATGGAGCAACCTTATGGGGTAAGATGATCAGCAATTTAAAAAAAAGAAAAACCTACTTGACTAGCATAGAGCTAGATCCTACAGGTCAGTTATGACCTGGATAAAATTTAGGTACTTTAGAGGTAACTCATCTTCATGTTCTGTGGCCTGCCTCTCTCTGGAGTGTGGTTCAACAGCTTCTTGCCCTAATTATTCTCATAACCTACAGGGTCACCCTGAGATCAGATCTCCCACAAACAATCAAGTCATAAACTCAAATATCAGTTACCAAAGATCATCTGGTTTAAATAATATTTTTTAGCTGCTACTGCCTTAGGTCCTTACAGATAAATAAGACTGAGTACCTCTTTGTAAGTTTCCACTTTTGCCTCTACTGCAATACTAATCAAATGGTTTTTTGGGTGAATATAATTTTGTTTCCTAGATAGATGAGAAATTTAATCTTTCAAATAGCCGATGTTAGCACTAATTCTGAATCCAAGTGGGACTCATGGAAAAGAAGAGTTTATTTCAGTCTGTTTTACCTTTTGGAGCATTAATTCCATAAGGGAAGTACTTTATTAAATTCTGCTGACATTTAAAGCTTATAAAGTACATTTGCTTGGTTCTTTTAAACCACACTAAACTTTTTTCTTTGGATGCTTCCGAAATTGCATTGGAATTTATCAAATTTTAAAACACATATCCTTGGATACACAATTTCATTTCAAGGAATTTCTTCCAGAAAAATATTCCCATTAAATGAAAGTCTTTTCTGAACTTGAAGCTATTCAGCCTAATGCCTGCACTTGGTTCCAAGAATGCCTGACAAAAGATTGGCAGATTCTCTTCTGGAAAAATGTAATAGCTCAAGAGAAATGACATTTGGGGGCCCTACAATGAAGCAGGTGGATTCTTGCTTGATGACCCCAAAGTAAAGCCCACCAAGGGACAAGCACCATGTGAGTACACAGAGCTAACAATCAACTATTATGTAAAAGTCATCTGACATTTGAAGAATGCTCCAACATGAAAGGCAGATGCCAAAACAAAGGAATTTGGTGGAAAAAGAGACAATGCAGGAAGATAAATTACATCCATGAAACATGAATAAACAACAATGGAATGCTATAATAAAAAAGAATGGTTGGGGGAAGGTACAGCTCAAGTTGTAGAGCACAAGCTTAGCATGCACGAGGTCCTGGGTTCAATCCCCAGTACCTCCACTGAAAAGCCAAATAAATAAACCTAATTACAGTCCCCCTGGGGAAAAAAAAAGAATGATCATAGAATAAAGGGAGCTTTCTTGAAACAAAAAATATGATTGCTGAAATAAGAAATCCATTGAAGGATTGGAAGATGAAGATAAGGAAATTTCCTGGGAGGTAGATCCAAGAGAAGATACAGAAGCAGAAAATAGAAGAACATTAGACAGGAGGTTGTCATTCTAAGGGAAGTAAGCCAGAAAGAGAAAGAAAACGGCCATGTGATATTGCTTTTAAGTAGAATTTTTTTTAAAAAGGACACAAATGAACTACTTTTTATTTATGACTTAGACGACTGATTTCTTAAATATGTGTAAGTACATTTGACTGTCCTTTATGATTGGATTAATGCATTCTGTTGTTTCTTATTTTGTGGTTGGCTTTATTCCTTTGATAACTATGTAAGTTTAAAAAACTAAAACTCTAAACTGTTCTTGGAAACAATGAACAGTACATATATGTAAATTTTAAAATGGCTTTATCTCTCAATGAGTTGCTCTTCCTAGAATAAACTTCATTTACCCCCCAAAATAAATTAAATTAAATTTAAAAAAAAAGAAGAATGTTAGAGGATTAGTCCAGGAAGTTCAATATTTCTTAGAAAATGGAGGGAGAGAGCGAGAGAAACAGACTGTGTCAGTCAGAGTCCTAACAGCAAGCCCAATGCATCCCACATGGTTCCAATAAAGAGATTTTTTATGAAGGGTCTATGTATGGAAGTGTGAGCAGGAAGGATTAGGGAACAAGCTAGGGTGGTATAGAGTCCAGAGGCGAGAAACAATGAGAAGCTGTTACACTCCCAGGGCTGAAGGGGCAAAGCTGGAGGAGGTCGTGTAAACAGAGCCCAGTGAGAGCTGCAGCCAAGGAGGCAGGGCCTCCCAACAGGAGACACACCTACTGCCTCAGAGATGTGCTGTACCTCAGGGAAGGAATACCCTGACTTCTCTCTCTTCTTGTGACCTGATCTCACACCTGCCAGTCCTAACCAGAAACCAGCTGGTACAGTCTATCGTGTACAAGGGTCATTCTCTCAGGGCAGGACAGGGCTAGTATGTGAAGGGAAATGAACTATTGAAGAATAATACAGTAACATTTTCCCATCTGAAAACCATCTGGTAACCATCTCAGAGAACTTAAAAAAAAAAGGAAAAAAGAAAAAGCCCTACACAAGCACGGCATAATGAAATTTCAGAACACTATTAACAAAGGGAAGATTCTAAAAGCTTCCAGAGAGCAAAAAACAGATCATATGTAAAGGGTCAGAAATCACAATGGCATTGAGTTGATCAACAACAACACTGAATGCTCTATGACAATGGAGCAATGGCTTCAAATTTCTGAGGAATCATTCTTTCCAAGCCAAATCATCAGTTAATTGTAAGGATAGGACAGACATTTGCAAACATGCAACATCTCTAAAGATTTACACCTCTTCCTAGGAAGCTATTATAAAACAAAGGAGTACACGAGCAAAGAAACCAAAACAGAAGTCCCTGGGTTGAGGGAACATGATATATGCACAGCCAAGAAGTGATGCCGACAGCTATGCAGACGTCCTAGAATATTTCTAGTTTAAACAGAGCAGGAGAAAGGAAGCCTCTATCAAGATGTCTTTAAGGAAAAGATAAAACACTAATCATTTTCAGAGAGATTTAACAATTCTTCTGAGGGTTTGGGAAGGGCAATGAAAATGGAAGCAAATGACTACTTAAGAAAATCAGCCTCCTAAAGCTATTTGATTTCTTAATTTGTGTATACATATTGCTTTTATACAACATTAAATTTAAAATACTCTCACAAGAATGCAAAGCATAAATGTAAAGACATCACTGTACCCTTGTATGTTATACCAAAAAGTTGAAAATAGCCTAAATATCTATCATTGGAAGATTGGTTCAATTATGGTCCTGCCAAATGATAGAATGCTATGTATTCTTTAAAGGGAATGAGAATCTGGATGTATACTGAGTGAAAAGATGACCTAGATATATGCTTAAGGGAAAAAAACAGGTTTCAAAACTTGTATCCATAATGTGATCCTATTTTTCAAAGTAATAATATTATTTGAATATATATTACTTTATACATAGAAAAATGAAAGATTGGGGAACTGTGGGTTTTTATTTTCTAATTAAAATTTTTGGTATTGAATTGTTTATACTGAGGATGGACTTCATGTACTCAGAAAAATCAACACATGAATTTTTAATAAGATTACTTTGGGGCTTAGAAATCAATTTTTCCATATCTTCAGTTAACAACATTCATTCATCAAACTATTGTGTTTGGTGCTGAAGAGACAGAGATGAATAAAATATATTTCCTGCCTTCAGTTTTATCACAATCTAGTAGAATGGTTTTTAACTGCCTAATGCTTCAGGGTGGAGTAAATGTTTGATCTGAATTTCATTTCAAAATATATTTTAAATATTTAAACACCTGTAATAAAATCAATTAATTTAATCTAATACATTTTAATACATTGGGACCACCACTAGTTAATTTCTTCCATCAGGCAAACTATTATTTTGTGTGTGTAGCTATCAGCAATAAAATTTTCCTGTTATTTCTGAGTATATATTTGAATTTATTGTAAACATGTCATTACTTAGAAAGGTTGTAGCTTTACTTTGGTCTTTAAAAAAGATCTAGTCTGCATATGTCTGCTTATAGAAAAATCTACAGGTGCCTATGCAACCACTGCATGCATGTGCTGAACACAATTAAATACACAGCAAAATTTAAGTTCATCTGCTTGATGTACATTCTTATGTGCAAAACAGATAAATGTCTAACAGGCAGGGTAGATAGGATTTTGGAGATCCTTAAAGCTTTATAAGTTTTCATTGTTTGACTTTTGTTATAAAGTATGTGAGCAGTTATTGGCTATTCTTGTGAACCAATTTTTAAAACATTTTATTATGAACACTTTGAAACAGATACAAAGTAAACAACAGAATAATAACAGCTCTATACTTACTGCCCAGCTTCAGCAATTACGAATATTCTGCCATTCTTGTGTCATCCAAATCTCCCTCCATCTGTTCCCCACTTGATTATTATTTTTTCCAATAAACGTTTTCCTTTACTCTTGTTTCAAGTTTCTGAATCTGTCCAGTTGAAGAGCAGTTAAAAGAACATTATTACCATTTGTAATTATTTATCTCTGTTGATCAAGATTTTCTCAATATTATTCAATCAAAACAAAATACAGAAATATTTTAGATACTGAAGCTTATATAAGAGTGCAATTATCATTTATAAATCCTAATTTCAAACTTTAGTGTTCACCAAAATAACATGGTTTCTGAGATTAATGTTTTTACATTAAAATATTTTTTTGCTAAAACTAATACATGAACATGCTTTAAAAACTTCAAAAATAGTACAGAGAGTATACATAAAAAAGAACATCTCCTTCCTACCCCGACCTCTCCCAGTTCCTCTTTTCAGAGGCCAGATTCTTGGGAGAATTTCCAGAAATACTCTATGCATGCACATACAAGCATCTGCATAACTACAATCCTTGAAGAGAAAAGCAAAGCCAAGCCCTATTGACAGTGTACACTGTTTTCTATATCATGCCTTTGTTCATTAATGTTTCTTTTAATATACAGATCAAAGAGCTTTTGGAAAAATACAACACTGCTGGTATAATGGGAACCATATCTCTGACAGCACAACGTCAATGAACAGAGAGAGGAGGGAGGGAGTACCTTACTTTTGGGAAGTGGAAAAGGCCGTACGATATTTTAGCTGACTCGATGAAACAGCATGCATAGCAGAAAAGCAGAAGAGTGTTTTAACTGGTAATACTCCTCAATTACAAACTTAATTGCTTGGTTTTTCTTTTTTCTTTCTTCACAGCATAGGATAATTGGTAGGTACAAAATATCCAGAACACCTGCTATTCTGTTGAACGTCATCCCTGCTATGATGCAAGAATGCCGGAATTTGAGTCAACCTGGGTTTTAGTTTCAGGCAAGCCATATAACCTCTTTGGTTTCCTCATTTCTATAATAGGGATACCATGTACTCATCTTTCTCACCAGGTTTTGAGATTATCTACTGAACTGGAGTACCATCCTATGGTGAAAGCAAATTGTCTTTGGGGTCTAAGACACATGGGTTTGTAATCACTGTTTTGTAGCTGTGAATGGTACAGTGGCTGTATCATTCATTCCATTCACAGGACGCTGTCGAGTACCTGCCATATGCCAGACACTGTCCTAACTGTGAGCATACAAGGGTAAATAAGACAGACAGGAGCTTAAATTGTTTTTGAGCATATAGTGTGTGCCAGGCACTGTGCTAAGGCTGAGAAGTAGTGATTAATCCTCAGGTGGTGTCATTTGCTCACATAGCCACAAAAACATCTATATCTGAAAATTCTCAAATGTATACTTCCTGGCCTGATGTCTCTGAACTTGGCTCTTATATGTACAACTGCCTTTTCGATGACTCTTTTAAAATAATTCACAAGCAACTCAAACATAATACATCCAAATCTAGACTGACTTTGATCCCAAAGCTGTTCCTCCCTCCCCTTCTCCCCATCTCTGTGAACAGACCACCATCCACCAAGGTGTTCAAGCCAGACACCTGGGGGACTTCCCCGACAGCTCCTCTCCCTCACCTCTTATCACCTGGAAGACAAATTAGTTCTACCTAAAAGGTAGATCTTGAATACATCCACTGTTTTCTTATCTGCCATCCCCCTTGCTCAGACTTTTTTGCAAAAGGTGCCTCACTATTTTCCTTGCTTCCTCCTGCTCCCTTACAAGCCATTCTCCATACAGTGGCCAGAGTGGATTCCTGGCATGAGAGCAATGGCAACAGTACTGATAACAGACACAAACAAAACAAACAAACACAACTGAAGATATAAGAATTCTTTCATTTCCACTCCTTTCTGGGAAGATTCCACCCCTGTGCTCTGGAGCTTCTATTATACTGATGAGGACAAATTGGTAGAGATGCAGAAATGGTGAGGTCAAAAAGATAGACTTATATGAGCAAATGCAGGGAGTTATTCAAGGAGCAAGAATGCACACTTAAAGGTGAGAGAATGAGGCCAAGGGAAGAAGAGCCAGGTCCAGGTCTGGCCTAATTTTGGGGGTAATATTTAAAGGCTGTTGTGCCAAGCTGAGTCGAACTTAGAGAGATGGATAGATCAAGATTTTTTAAAAGTATATTTACTGTGACTCATGCACATAAGTTTCCCTTTTGTGCTTAATTCATAAACTTCTATCAATATTAGATTTTTATTATTTTTATTTTTAGTATCTGTTGTTTCTTTTGATGAGACTGGCTATGTGTGGGCTCAGCTTTATTCAAAATCTCTTACCAGGGCCTAATGGATGGCACATTCTTAGCTTTTAGGTCTCATCTTAAACGTTACCTTTTCAGAAAGTCTTTCACATCTGTCTTAGCTGGATCTCCACTGTTGTTCCTTTTCATGGCACTATGGCTTCCTTTATAGAATTTTGCAATTGGCAGTTTATTCACGTGTGTAGTTCTGTGTGTATGGACTCACACCTGAGTTGCTTATCATCTGTTTCCAGCAGATATAAGACCAAGAGCACAAGGAACTGGAGCTTTGCTCATTGCTGTAGAGTTAATGCCCCGCACAGTGCTCTGCGCATAGAAGGCTGCCAATGAATACTTGATAAGTGAACAAACTTGTAGAGCTTAACATTGAGAAGGATATACAGATAGTGAATAGATAATCATGTTATGATGACCACAACTGGGGAGCATGGTACTTCTGTAAACTCAAAGAAGCTAATTTAAGTGGCGAGCAAGTCCATTCATGCCTCCCTGATCTAAAAATGAGTCGGGAGGTGGCCAAGTGACAGGAATGAGGAATGTTCCAGGCAGAGGAAATCACAATCGTGAAGGCTCAGGATGAGAGTATGGAGCATTTTGGGGAGATCAAAGAAGACCAGTGTGACTGGAGCTAGAGAGGAAGAGATGTGCCTGTGGAAATATGTGGTAAGCCTCAGGGCTGGGAGCTTCATCCTAAGGAAAGGAAAGCTTTAGGCAGCAGAGTGAGGTGATCAAGTTCATTTTTAAAAGACCACTACAGATGTGTGGGGAATGGATTACAGGTGAGAAGTGGAGAGTGCTTGGAGAAGTAGGCCAGGGCAGAGAGGATCTAGGGAGATTGGCTAGGCCTGTGTAAGAGCGTAGGCCGGAGAGGATAGAGGCATGCTTAGAGGAGATGGTGAATTTGGAGAATAGTGGTGATTCACAAGAGATTTAGAAGCTAGAGCAGTTAAGATACGGTGAGTCATTGGTCTTGCCTTAGGGGAGTGGGAGAGCTAAGATGACTTCCAGGGTTTCAATACAGACTACTGAGCGGCACCTTTTATTGAAATAAGAGAAAGCTGGAAAAGGAGCCAGTTGGTGGTGGTGGGTGAGTGGTGGGAAGATGATGAATTCAGTTACAGACAAGATTCAAAGCACCTGTGAGATATACAAGACGAGAGGCAAAGCAGGCAGTTGAATAGATGGCAGCGTGGTGGTCAGTGGGATTCTGCATACAAATGAAGCTCTCTGTCTAGGGAGTGAGTGGAATGAAAGGCTTAGGATGGAGTCCTGAGGACCTTTCACCATTTAAGCGTCAGACTGAGAAGAAGCCAGCAAAGTGAAGCCAGGAGTAGTCAGAGGTAAGAGAAACACCAGAACATGTGGTGCTACGGATGGCCTTGAGGAAATGGTCTAAGACAAATGTCTCAGTGAATTAGCAGTCAGATTTTAAGCAGAGAACATCACTCAACAATTTAAGTTCTGGTAATTCTCCCCTTTTATTAGAAAACTGGATATCAATATTTCTTGGGGTAAAAGACACCTCCCTAACTCCCACCTTAAAAAGGCTATTTTATTTTCATATCACTATTTTAACCTCTAATATTCACTTATAATGCATAAATGTTTTTATATTGTTGTAGTTAAAATGAATGCATCATTTTAATTTTTCTTTTCCATTTTAAAATGAAAGGAACTTATGACTTCATACTGATCATTTTAGTGGCTGTATAATGTTCCATTCAATGACATTTTGGAGATTTATAACAGAATATGGTTGATTCTACTAAAACTATAGGAAGAAAAAAGAACTACAGGATGATAAACTTTTTCTCAAAACCCACCCTCCTCTACCATAACAAGATCATTTTAAATAGTTTAAAAAGCACAGGTACAAAATGATCTTATCAATAATTTTGCCTCCTGGAGTTTAAATACAGATAAACCAATTCCAGTATGTTGCTTCTTCAACTTCATACAGTCACAATTCAACCTTAGAGAGAAAACAGAAATTTTGAGTTATATCCTAAGAAGAACAGTTAAAAGCACAGGGAGACATGATTATTTTGTTGATCCTAGAAATACAAGGACTCTCTTTATAGATAAACTAGCAAACTGAAGACCAATATATCACCTTGATGCGCACTGGTTTTTGAATCTTCAACAACAGATAATGAAATCAAGGGCAAGGGGAAATGATGCTTTTATGCATTGCCATTAAATGTCAAAAATGTACTGAAGAATTTTAAGGTATCTGATATATATATACATATATATATATGTACATGTATATTATATATATTAAAATTTATTTTAGCATTATTTGATGACGTCATACAAAGTTTTATTCACATCATAAATAAACTTTAGTAAAAAGAGGGTAAAATGGTTAAGACCTGCTTCAGTTGAAATGCTCTCATTGGTTTGTTTAAAGTTGAGCCCTAAACTGATGAGTGAGGTAAGCTGCCAAGATGAAAAAGGCATTTTCTGGAACTGTGGCATTTGAGTTTCTATAGGAAATATGACTAAATGCAAAAAAGTGAACTCATGATTAAGCCAAAGACACTTTAATTCTTTGATCGCATGAACTTCTGTGTTGAAATCAGTACTTTAGCTCAGAAACACTAGAAGTCTCTTGCCACCAACAAATGGGTCTCTAGTTTGGTGATATGAAAAGTGATTGACCAGGAAGCCTAAGACACTTGGCCTGCTGAACTCTCTTGGTTTAACTCAGTAATATGTGTTGAGTTCTTACTTTGTGCAGGACAAAGTGCCAGATAGAGCTTCCAGAACATCTTTATTTAAAGGCTTATCTTCTCTCTTACCCATTGTTGTAAGACTGGACTTAGTTCTCTGCATGGAATTTGTTGGCAGTTTCCTGTGTGTCCTGTTTTTGTCTTCATTCCA